TTGTTTTATAGTTAATGTTGTTTTTTTTTTATATAAATGAGAGGAATATACTCTAAAATACTAATAAGAGTATAGTACTATAAATGCATAAACTAGTAACATGGTTTCTTATTGTCATCATCAAGTATTATGTACTGTGCATAATGGTGTGTGCTATACTTTTATGCAACTGGCAGCATAATAGGTTTGTTTATACCAGCATCACTATAAACAGAAATATTGTAATAATACAGTTCCCTACACTGTGACAATGGCTACACCATCACCAGGCTATGAGAATTTTTCAGCTCCTTTAAAATTTTATGAAGCCACCCTCATGTGTGTGGTATTCATTGATTAAAATATCAATATGTGGAACATGGCTGTATCTGCCCAAGTTAACACAGGAAGTGAAGTGGCAGAATCAAGATTCCATGCCAAGTCTGTCCAGCTCATAGCTCTTAACTACTATGCCCAGTGATGGCAGAATAGTAGAAACAATGACAATTTGGTGAAAGGTAAAATCAGTAAGCTGTTCAACATAGCTATAGAAGTATGCTATGTACAAACTTCAAAGATTGCTCAGGAAAAGGATCAGCTAATCTCAAGGATAAGAAAACTAAAGTGGTTTCAAAAGGAGTGGTTTCTCAAAGAAGTCAGGCAGTTTAAGACACATAAAACTATACAACACAACTCTCAACTCCTATCTAAAGGCCAAATTCACTTTATATCAATTATACCATATTTAAACATTGATTCTATTTGGTCCAGGATGACAACATTCCATTTCTTTTGACCTTTCTGCTATTGGATATGGCCCTATCACATTTTAAATTTGATTCTTAGAATGGAACCTTCACTCTCTTAAAAAGCAACTTTGGGTAATAAAAAAGTACACATAAGTTAAACAAGTAAGTTATCATCATGAAGCAAAAGAGAGGATGGTGGTTTTGTGTGCAATCTGAAGATTGGGTGTTGACCACACAGCAGTGAATTTTATAAATTCCAGGGTCAGACATGTTTCTGGTGGTGGCACACTCTGCTAACATGAGAAGATGAAGGATTAGGTAATAACAATGAGGAAGTCAGCCAAGTTGCCACCCAGAAATTATTTACCACAGCAGCTGCAGTTCAGAAATGCTAACAAGCCAGTCTCCCTAGGAGTGGGCCATACTCAGCTGTGAACCACTCACAGAATTTTCTCACTTTCCTTTACTCCAGAATTGGGGGCTATATATGTGTTACAATGATTACTTCTTAGCTTGCTTTATAGATTCAAAATTGTCTTCCCCAAAGAAACTGAACCTATAATTACTGTTTGTACCAAGAAAGGAGCAGTGGTACCTAATCATGCAGGCATAAGTCCCAGTTTACCTATAATGAGGGTAAGCCAACTCATCCTTTAAAAAGAAAAGTTATGTATATACATATACATGTATGTTTATGTATATATTTATACATACATAAACATTTATATGTATTTAATATTTATAAAAATTGAAGCTTCAAGGATAACTTAAACACTCAACAGAAAAGTAGCTAATCTCAAAGAACCAACTTTTAATTATAATTTAATACTATTTATCAATCCACGGACAGTATGAATCTAAAGAGTTTTTCTCAATTCTCTGAATAGCCAAAAAAAGAGAAACCCTTAAGTCTTCATCTGTTAACTTGCTTTGAATTTGATACTTCTAGGTTTTTAGTTAGCACTCTAGCTTTTACAATTTCTCTTACAAACAAAAATCTATTTAGCTTCCTTCACAATTAAGAATTATATCCATTTTAATCTCTTTCTCAAACACGTGAAGGAAGACTTGATAGTTTGATAGTTAGAAAGAAAAGAACAGCACCCTCTCTCCAGGCCTCTTCTCCCAAAGTTTCTCTGAAGTTATGGTGGAGTGTTTTACATCCTCTCACTAAGACAGTAATTCTTCACTCTAAGGTACCAATATCTCAACAGAAACAATAAAATAATTAATGTCAATATTAATCATTAATAATTAATATTCACAATAGATTTGCACTACTTTTTTAATATTTATATTTTAGTTATGGTTGGACACAGTATCTTTATTTTATTTATTTATTTTTATATGGTGCTTAGGATTGAACCCAGGCCCTCACACGTGCAAGGCGAGTGCTCTACGCTGAGCCCCAATCCCAGCCCAGATTTGCATTACTTTTATGTTGTATAAGCATTGGTCTTCTTTAAAGAATTATGCAAAGATGGTACATGCCTGCAATCCCAGCAGTTCGGGAGGCTGAGGTAGGAGGATTGCAAGTTCAAAGACAGCCTCAGCAACTAAACGAGACCCCAAGTAACTTAGCAAGACCCTATTCAAAACAGAAAAGGCTGAGGGGCTGAAGTTGTGGCTCAGTGATAGAGCACTTACTTGCCTGGCATGCGCGAGGCTCTGGGTTCAATCCTCAGCACCACATATAAATAAATAATAAAAGATCAATTTACAACTAAAAAAAATAATAAAAAGAGGCATGAGGATGTGGCTCAGTGGTTAAGGGCCCCTGGCTGGGTTCAAACCCTGGTATCAAAAAAAAAAAAAAAAGAATTATGTAAACAGTATTCAAATTTTTGCAGATTCTAATTCAACTGAGTATGATTTAATGTTTTTACATATTTACTTTTAAAGAAACATCCTTCTAATAACTAAATAAAAATCAAGATAAGTTTGAAAACAGAACAGTACTCTAAATTAATTCTCATCTGAACCATCTGACTTACCGTGTAAGGCTGGGCATGTTACCCTTGATGTCTCTTCACCAAAATTGCTGATCATTAATCCTTCTAACCTTGTGGAATCATGATGTGAAAAACAAGCATGAACATAAGATGCATTCATGGGAATATATATGAGTTTACAAAGTACTTTGACACAAGTTCTATTTCATCAATCATGGTGCTATTTATTCATACAATAAATAAGTTTCTGTGCCTGTGGTCTTATTCATATTATAGATGTTAGAACAGGCTCAGAGAGGTTAAATGGCTTGCCTAGGTCCCCTGGTTCTCCATGAGTCCTAACCCAGTGTTTCCTAATCTCTGGTCCTTCCATCAAAACAGAACTATCCTGGTTTCTATCAATCCTTTATCATTTCCTAGTATAATAGACCAATTTCAACTGTGATGTTAATAACTGAAAGTGACTGTATGCATTCTGCTTCTCAAATAATAACAGCATTACAATCTAAACCTGTAGCACTTTTCAAATAACCAGTCAGATGAGAAGAGTAATGTGACAGGCAGATTGAAAAAGATTTGGTGTGATGGGAAAGGAGAGGACACAGCAGTTTGAAATCCTTCAAATCATATAGTACAATACTGCCTGACCACTCTACTTGAAACTTAAGACGAGGTAGAGATAGGGCAATACCTACTTTCTGCATGAGACCCAGGGGCTAGACTAGAGTGGAATAAAAAGGTTGTCACCTCTACATGTGACAATGTGCTGTGACTCACTGCCCCTGTACCCTCTGTAGCTCCTATTATCTCATCAACCACATTTTCCAGGAGAGAAATGGTGCCCTCTCACACCCCACCCAATGTATTCCCTGAAGATGGTCTCTTTAGCTAGTGCAGGGCAGAGGATGAGACAAAATTATCCAAGCAGTAGTTTTATTCAAGCTAAAAGAAAATCCTTTCTCTCAAATAATCTAAAAAATTGCCCCTTCTGTCTTGCTTTGGATTGATGGGAAAACTTTCTCCCTCTGCACAGGGAACAAATTTGTTTACCATTCCTACCTTCCTACCCTGAAGCATATACTGCCACTTATGTTCCCCTGTCTCCATCTCTGAGTTACCAGCCTTCCTGACCTCTGGCAGCTCCAAGAAGAACACTCACTATATGCCACATAAAAGATGAAAGGTGAACCTGGGTGAATCTCAGAAAAATTCAGGTTAAACATGGAAATTCAGGAAAAATAGGAAATAGTGCTAACTTCCTCAGATTTAGTAGTCCATGTTAACTGAATTTACTAAATTATCGTTTAGGTCTCAAAGACATCAGTTATTTTCCAGATCTAAGATGTTATTCAGCAGTCTGTAATGCTTCCCAGCCTTCTTCTGGATAGGATAGGACACACAAATAAAATGACAGGCAATGTTTGGGTAGTCCTCTGCCATAAAAAGCAGGAGTTTATAATCTCTGATATGGTCAGAAGTAACCAGCCCCAGGTTATTCAGGCCACTTCAGATCAACTTGCCCAGACACTGAGAGGTCTAAAGAAATCAATGTTGTGGTAACCAGCTAGGAATCTTAATCCCTGTAACCCATCACCTCTAAGTAAGGTGCTGTCTCATCTCACTCTGAACTCAGCCAACACATTCTGACCCATCAATCAAGAGAGCCCTCCCTGCAAAGGAAAGCCCATTCTCTCTTCTACCCCACCTGTCAGCCCACCACTATCCCATGGGTATTCTCTCCTTCATTCTAAGGTGAACTATTCCTAGGACTAAAAGTGCCCAAGATCCTGTCTCAAAAGCCTAATCATCTTCAAAAACAAACATGAATTTCTCAAGGAAAGAACTGTCCTCAGCGCCTCCCCTTCCTCCACAGCATCATCCTATGCTTCACTGATCCAGAGCTAGAAGGGACCTTTCAATAGCAGAATGTGTGGCCTGTATGTAATCCACCTGCCTGAGTCACTGCCTGTGCTGGCCTAAAAATGAAAGTTTCCCTCCTGATTTACTAAATCAGAATCCCTGGAGTGAAGCATGAAATCTACATTTTAAATCTGTTCCAGGATGACTGTTCTGGGCTGTTCCACAACAGGGTTTGAGAGTTCCTTCTGGTTTAATGCAGCCCCCTTCCTTTACACAGAAGGAAAGTAGAGAACAGGAACAAGAGAAGTGAAATAAGCTTGTCCAAGGTCACACGGTGTTTAGGTGATCAAATCTGGACTGAATCCTGTCTTTCTCACTGACAAGCACAGAACTAGCTAGGAATGGCCTAAAATAGCAACAGGTCTACTAGCCCCCCGGCTGCCACTGCCCCTGCACTCACCCGCTTGTAGACGTCCTCCCGGCTGGCCTCATACTTCTGTTGCATGCGCTCCTCCAGGAAGTAGATGCGCAGCTTGAGGCTGAAGTTCTCCTTCTTCAGGTCATTGAGGTGCTGGGACAGAGTGCGATATCCATTAGACATGGTGGGCAACCCATGAGGAGGAGCATGCCCGATCGCCCCCTCACCCCAGGAACATGGTGCAGCTGCACCACGGCATGAATGGAGCCGGCTGGGACGCTGCTGAGGTTGCGGGACCCCAAGGGAGGCCGGGGCTACAGCGACATGGCCCCGGACGCGGGCGCTTTCTCCAGGATTTGGGACCGGGTTCCCTGCTCTGGGTGCTGGAGGGCAATGCGCTTTCCTTTTTTACCTCAGGGAGATATTTGCGGAATCCCTGACAGAGGAACATGCTGTGTGAACTCAGACACAAGTGGTGTAACCCGACTCCAGGCCAGGACTAGGCTGTCACCCTCCTGGAGCCTCCCAGGCCCAAGTGTAGGCAGTTAACAGTTTCCAGGAGAAAAGAGGGGCTGACCCCCAGATGCTTCCAGGAAATGGGAAGGGGGAATAATTCAATGTGACTGTGGCGGAGGGCTTGCAAAGAAGAGAAGGAAATAAAAGGGTGTGGAGTGCTGGGGAGGGGCTACTTACTTTAAGCTCTTGGTGGCTGATTTGTACCAAAAAATAAAATAATTAAAAAAGAAAGTGTGGCCAGAAACAAGATTTCTATGGAGAAGAGCACATGTACACAAAATGGCCCACAAAAAGGTGACCACATGTCAAATATCCTTTTAGGTGCAAATCTTAAAGGAGCTACAAACCAAATGAGTCTCTAATTCCTTTAGGTGATCCAGAGCTCACCTCTGATCAGTTCCTTTCAGTTTTCCTCCTGATTTTCAATCCCTGAGCAGTTACATTAATAGCCTTTATTCCATGCTTCTCCCACCTCCAGGCACCTCCGAAGAAAGTGAATCTTCTAGTTGAGTGGGATCTTTGCAAACTGTTTACTAGTTACAGGAGCTCACACAGAGAGAGGGTCAAGGACACCTCCCTCTAGGGAAGAAGGGAAGGGGAGAAGAGAATGTAGGAGGAGCAGAGGGAAGGAGCCACCCTCCTGGAGCCTGTTGATTTCAGCCAGTCACTGGCTCTTAACTCAGGCAACTGCCAAGTGGAGCCAAGTACTCCTCACCAGATCCTGCTCATAAAGCAACTTAAGATCTTTGAGTGACAACTGCAACATTAGCAGGAAGTATTATTTATGCCACATCACAGGGATATTGAAGGTGACTAGGAGACAACCTCACAGCACAAATATCAAACTCAGGTTCTTTGTTCAATAATAATACCTTTTTTAAAAATGAATATTAACATCCAAGTTAAGGAAACAAGTTTATGCATATGTCAACCATTCACTTTCCCAACCTACTTGCTTCTCATATTTTCAATTCTTTCTCAAACTTCCATAAAATGATTCATGTCTGTATCTCCTGAGTACCCACCAGATTGATGAAGACAGTCTCAACCATCAAAGAGCTAGCTGATCAGTACATGTTAAGATATGCTTTACACTACAATTCACCAAGATTGTGCTTTTCAAACTGCAATCCAGCACGTGCACATGCACGCACGCACACACACACATACTCACACTCTCACTCACACTTAACTGAAATAAATATTTCACAAAGTAATTGTTACTATCATTATGCATGATATGCTCTAACATTTCTCTTCTTTTTCTCTTTCTGAGTGACCTGCTAAGTTGATTTCATGAGCAGCTGATAAATCTCAACCTGTACTTTAAAAAAAAAAAATCATTGACTTTATGGAAACATAGAAGAAAGAATGATCAGTTCTTACTGAAGTGATACCAGGAAAAGCTTTGGTAGCAGCTGAACTAGCACTTTGCTTTTGAAAGAAAAAGATTTAATGAATTAAGTGACCTCAGCAGGGCAGAATTAGAACTGTGCATTCTTCCAAATAGATTAGGATTATAAGTAGGCAACACATTTCTTCACGGAGAGTTGATAATTTAAGCCAAAATATTCCACCCTTTTGAAAAAACCTACACACTTAAAATTTATTTAACTATTTTCATTAAATTTGAAATTTTGGAATAAATGAATATGTTGGGCTTATAGACCATGAGGAGCAAAATCTAAATTAAAATTCAAAAAATACTTTTCTGAGGTGTAGTGGTGCACCCTATAGTCCCAGATACTTGGGAGATTGAGGCAGGAGGATCACTTGAGCCTAGGAGTCCAGCCTAGGCTGGACAACATAGTGGGACCCCATCTTAGAGAAATAAATAAAATTTTAAAATACCTTCTCTGGTCCCAGTTCTTTAACTAACTGGGCTTAAGAGTGTACTTTTCTAGAGGCCCAGCTGTCTTCATGTATAAAATGATATGGTTGGGAATGGAGTGATTTTTAAGGCCTTTTACTACTTTAAGTTCTTAGAGGGATAGCCTATTATTATCACTTCCATTTTGTTCAAAGAGAGCCATGCTGCCAGATTCTAGATTAGTGTTTAATCAAGCTTTGGCTGTCAATTTGGATTCTTTTATCATGTAAGAAAAAAATTAATAAAAGATTTTTGGGAAATAAAACTGTAAGAATTCAGGCTATTCTTATTCAACCTATATATTTCTGGACATCTATGCCTGTTTTCTCCTGTGCCTATTTCTCTGCTCCCTTTTCTGTGTGTATTTTTTTTTGGGGGGGGGGGGCAGCCCCTTAAAATTGGTGCTTAAATGATAGTAAGTCCTTAGCCTTTTGCTTTTTGTTGTTGTTTTGTTTTCACACTCTCTCCCTTAGAGATTTTATCTACTTTTAGTTCCATAACTTTTACCTCCCAAATAACTCCTAAATCTCCAATCAGCCTTCTGGATCTAGTCCTATACGTCCAACTCTTTGCTAGATAGCTCAACTTGAATGTCACATACTCAACACAAACTTCATAGCAAATACTTTTGCAGTAGTCCCTTTCCACTCCAGCTATCTCCATATTAGAGCCAAAATAATGTTTTCAAGACTCAAATATATCCTGCCATCTCTCTTAATTAAAACTCTTCACAGTCATCTCATCACTTTTAGATTAAAGGGAAAACACCACCACATGTCTTTAAGACATTCACCTCTTTTTTTTTTTCCTTCAAATCCTGTTTCAAATTCCATCCAAATAAAACTTTGCATCCTACTCTAGTTTCTTCCTCTCTTGAACACCTCCCTAAGGCAAATATTAACATCAGCAAGTGGTTCATGTGATGCCTTTTGATATTGCTTTTATTATCTTGGAAGGTTATTTATACTGTTTAGAGGTATTTAATTTTTCATATGTTTGAACTCCCTACTAGTCAAAGCCACCCAAGGAAAGTGTCAATGATTACATGTCTTCATCTGTTCCTACAGCTTCCACAACACCCTAAAACCACATCTGCAGTAACAGTCACACCACTGTGCTGCCACACCCTGTTTAAAGTCACCTCAAAGATTTTAAAGATTGGCAAGGAGTAGTTTGTATCTTTGTATTCTCTCCTCAGTATTTATAAAGCACTCCCAAGTATTGTGGAATTGATGAATGGATAAGTATCCCATAAATATTATGTTTTGCCTGGATTATTCTTATAATGTAAAAAGTTTGTTTTAATAGTTGCAAAGAAAATACATTTGTGAAAATGGTAATTGTAGAAAAATGATGTTTTGTTCACCTAAATTTCTCAGATTGTGTGCCCACCCTGACCTTTTCCCTGAACTCCAATTTATACCTAACTTCTTAGTAGAAATCTCCATCTGAATATAGACATCTCATACTTGTGATATCTAAAATGGAATCCTCTTTCTTCCCAGCAAACATGATCTTCCCTCATTGGACCCTATTTCAGTTTGTATCAACTCAATGTTTATAGTTTTTATAGAGTTTATAGTTGTTTGGGCCAAATTCTTTTGAGTTTTCCTTGGCTCATTCTCTTTCTTATACATCACCTCATCTGTCTATGAGTCTTATTGTTTCATATATAGTATGTTTGAGTACATGCACGCGCGCGCGCGCACATTCCATGTAGCACCAATGTCACTGGAATTTCTGCCACTATGCTCCAAGATGCCATCATCTTTACCCCAAGTTATTTGAATAGCTTCCTCTACTGGTTCCCCTGCACCAACCCTAATTCCCCTACAGTCTATTCTGAACACAGAACCAGAGTAACTCATTTAAAATATGTCAGGTTACTCATCCATGAGAAACCCCTGTTGTCTACCTCAGAGTAAAGGCTGATACTGGTTCATCAGCCCATAAGGCCCCAGGGCCCTGCATGATCAGGAGCCTCTCTCCTCCTCTCGGATTCCCTCTTGTACTCTTCTTGCCACTCTCTCCCTATACATCCTGCTCTAGCCACAGTGGTTCCCCTGGCTTTTTCCTCAAAAACTGTAAGCACCCTTCCTCCTCGGGGTCTCTGAGCTAATTGATCCGTCTGCCTACTATGCTCTTTCTTTAGAAAGCTACAGGATCTTCTTCCTCTCCTTCATCTTGGATCAAATGTCACCTTCTCTAGGCCCCAGTTCAATCCCCAATACTGCAATAAATAAATAAATAAACCACAAATGCTACCCTCTCAAACAGGTGACTTCCCTATTTAAAACTATAACCCACCCATGCTTCTTGTCAGCATTCCATATCCCCCTTCATTATTTTTTTAATTCTATAGTATCACCACCTTCTAAAATATTACATTTACTAGCTTTACATATCTTGTCTCCCCCCTAGCATGTAAATGCCATGAGAAAGCTGAATTTGACCTATTTTTTTCTCTATCACCAGTGCTAGGAATGGTGTCTGGTACATAATAGGTACTCAATAAATACTTGTTGAATAAAAGAATGCATGAAAATTAAACTGCTGATTTCTTTGTCCTCCCTGGATTTAATTATAATAAAACCCAATCTGAACACAAAATTAAGAAAATATTTTAAGATAAATGGCATACCTAAAGACACTCCTCCTTTTAAAAGGGGTATTTTATAAACAAATTATTCTAACAAACTAATGTTAAAATGCAATGCAGAATCTGGTCTTTCTATAAGAGTTCTGAAAAAAATAGAGAATAATGTAT